ACACTGACTGGTGCTTAGTAAAGAATGAGGGAATGGATCCTATGCTATCTATAGTGAGAGGTCATTCTCTCATTCCCTACTAAGCACCAGTCAGTACAGGTGGGTGTGGGTTCCATCCTTCATTGCGAACTCGTGAGCCAACCAACCCATCCTGTGACCTCCGAGGCTTTCATCAGTCAGGCCACTGTGAACTTAAATTTCACGTCCACATCGCAAAAGACGGGTCCAGCCATTTCCTCATTTCCGGCCACATCTCGTGGTGAAACATGTGTGTTCGTCTTTCCGCGGGTCCGGCGCCCTAACGTCACTGCTGGTCACCCTCCCACTGCGAAGAAAACATGAAAAAAACATCTTCCGGAGAACACCAAGGTTTCAACTCCTCTGATTGTGATGGGCGGTAACCAGAGGTGCGATTGTGATGGGGACCCGTGCGGCTCGACGGTTTAACCGTTGGTGTTCTGACAATTCCGAGAAAGCGACAGAGTTCGAGAGACTCCAAGCGGCGCAAGTGACAGGTAGGGCCTACAGCTCGCTGGACTAGTCTACTCCAACTGGCTGTAGACTGGACTACCCGACTCCCCTGGAGTCGGTAGAGAGAGCGCCAGGGACTGGAACCAAGCTCCAAACGCGAACCGAACCATGTCTTTCCTCTAAAAAGGTGCAGTTGACTATTCAAAAGGCTCCTACCTACCGATCTCCAAATACCCTCGCCCTGGACATCCGTTCGACCAATCAAAAGCCAATGGGCTAGGGCAAAAATCCTTAGTAAAACAGCTGGTGTTCCAACAACCGGGATTCCAACCATGAAAGCTTTCATGATGAACCACCGGAAGCCTCCCACAGTCTGTGCCACCGGGGCCGAACGAAGCACCTACCTTTTCAGGGGGTCAAGGCAGACGGCTTTGACCCCGGGCTCATCCTGGTTAGACCTGACGAATCTCTCAAAATGGGGTACTGCGCGAGAGGTAGGAATGCAGACCGCGGGGTGAATCCCGGGGTGCCATGACCCACAGACATAATATACAGCAGGACCTTCCAACAGGTGGCTTTAGAAGCCTAACAGGTGGTGAACCTGGGCACCTGTTGTCACCAGGAAACACCTGTTGGAGGGTCCAGGCAATTGGGTCGGGTGTCAGGAAAACGGGAGCAGAACGGTTCTGCGGGATTGAGGTCTTGTTGCCAGCTGAGAGGGCTTGACTGATTTCCGAGACCTTGGAATGCCCACTGGGATCTGGAGCTTGCTGTCGGGAGTGCCCACTGCGATCTGGAACTGCGAGAAGAAACAATGGGCAGCGCCACCATGTGGAGTGGAGAAATGCATGCGAGGTGGCCGTACTTGTGCGAGGTTTCCAGGATGGACCAGCCTTCATGACCGAGCTCTTTGGGGGGAAGAACTTCTTCCAGCGTTTTTCCCGCACCAAGGCTCGAAGCTATTGCCCCAGGTGGGCTGGGCATTGTGGTCCTGGCAACTCCGGACAACGGGGGACATCGGAGATGTGGAGGAAATCATCGGGGACGGAGGTCCAGGGCATCGACTCGTCCTTTGGACCGACCGGCTGAAGGGTGTTTTTGCAGGAAACTCTTAGAAGTCGATCGGGTCACAGGTCACACGAAGAAGTCGAGTCTAGTCTGGACACTGGACACTCTTAGGGGAAGCTCTGGACACTCTTCATGGATCAACTCTGTCTGAATTTCTATCAAACCTCTCTTCAGATCCTTGGCCGAGGATGGTGACAGGCCTTCGTGCCTGACCCGTTTGAAGACCCGTTTTGCCTGATCAAGTGGATTGGCCTTCCGGCACTACCAACGCCACTAAGTCCGAATGGCCACTCCTATGGTCCGTAATGCTACTACTACTTGTGGGGTGTCGATTCCCCCTCCTACTTCCTTTTCAGGTCCTGTTGCTTCGCATTTTTTTGGGGCGGAGCCTTTAGGGATCCTGATCGAGTCCGGATCGACTCGTTTCAAAAGGGTCTCGCTTTTGGAACCTGAGTCCAAAAAAGTTTGGAGAATAACTGGACTTAAGTTCTATGCAGTTGTATATGTATATGATGGAAAAAAATTCCAGGTTCCGCTTCCAAAAAGAAGAAAGGTGTGTCCTGAATCAATCCGTTTCTTTCATTGACACCGTGGGATGCCAAAATGCTCCACCAGACTGCAATTATGGCGGTGTTGGTCGGGCCCGTTTGGGATGAGCAGCTGGGAAGACCTTAGTGTTAGGTCCTCCCTGAAACAAGAATATGGAAGTGGATGGCCCCCCGCGGTTAAGACCATGAAATCCTCTACAAACAAGTCCACGACACCATGCCTGTAGGAAGGCAGAGTCGATCATGAAGGAGCCGATTCCCTTTTTAGACATACCTCAAACAGTGACTCAAACCTATGGCCTGGCAACAACAGCTCGCCACTTTGTAGACAAAACATGAACCCTAGAAGTCCAGTTCGATGATTTTTGGGACTACCGAAGTAAAGAAATGCTAGACTCGGATCACCTAGTCAGACAATTTAAAGAAATGGTCTTGGACAAAAGGTGAATCTATGTTCACCCAGCCGGTCTCACCAAAAACATCCCGGCGGCTCTCTTTCCGCTCATGTAGTCGTGCAAGTTTCAAGATCCAGGATATTGGGTTGCATGCAAAAAAGGGTTTTCGCCTACGCGAAGTCACGATTTTTGTTGTTGTCTGATCAAGAATTATCTGAAAATCGATGTCAAAAATGGTGACCATTTTTGACATCGAATTGCGAAAACACAGGGTTTCGGACAATTTTTTTGCCAATGTCAGATCAGAGACACAGAAGAGACCAAGCGTAGCGTAAGTGTAGAAAGTGCATTCACAAGAACGTTAATAGCCCCACCCGAACCCAAACCGAAACCCCGGCCAACGTCAGATCAGAGACACAGCAGATACCAAGCGTACCGTAAATGTGAAATGTACATTCACAAGAACGTTAATAGGCCCCACCCGAACCCAAACCCAACCCCCTGGCCAACGTAAGATCAGAGAATAGGCCCCAACCAAACCCAAACCACTACTAGGGCTGTTTCAGAGCCGATAGCAAAAACATGGCCCAGCTTGCCACGCAAAGACTTTGAGTTCGAGTGACTCTAAACCAGACTCTAAACCCAGTCAAGCTGGATCTTCGAAACTATGCAAACATTATGCCTCTTGGTATCTCTTAATTCATAAAACCAGCCAGGCTCGGCAGAAAAACTGTAGAAGATCCAGCTCTGCCGCGGCGCCGCCCGCACCGCCCGCACCGCGGCCTGAAGATCGCAGGCTTTCGTGAGGGTATTGTAGACGTAGCTGTCTAGGCAGAGCAAGGGGTCACACGCGACGCGGCCACGAGTTTCAGCGATTCTGAACTCATCAACGTACCAGGCTTCAGGCTTCAGCTGGTAGCTAAAGCCATGGCCCTGGAAATCCCATGTGGTGCCATTTCGACCAAACAGTGGAGCTGCATCGACCTTCACAACCTCGAACTGTCAAGAACCGTGACGCTTGTGACCCCAAACGAGGACCACGTGACTCGTCCAAACCTTCCTGGATGGAGGGTCACTGACTGAAAATCACTGCTGGCGGGTGACTTATGTCTGATCATTTGATCTGTGAAGCGTGATCATCAGGTTGGAAGTGAACTTATGTGTGCGACAGAGGATTTCTGGGATGGGAGGTTGCTTTCGAGAATTGCCCTGGATTATGGTATGTTTGGTATCCGACAGCACCTAAAAACAGCTGATGGCGCCACAACCATCGTGGTGAGTCGTTCTTCGCTCCAAAGTCTGCGAATGAAAACCAACGCGTGGCCGCGTGAAGTCTCAAAAGCTCACGGAATTGGGGAAAGGCCCGAATTGGGTGAGTGACCAATCAATCGGTCCACGAAAGGGGATCAACCAAAAAAAAAGCCGGTCACCAGCGGTTTGATGCGTCGTCCCTAAGGATGTCTTCGGGCGTCCAAGTGCGAAAGAACCGGTGGCACCGCGAAGTTCATTGGGAACGACTTGGTTAAGTTAGTAGTAGCGTCCTTGTTACTACTAGTAAGGCACTTGTTACTAGAAGCGATGCACTCGTTCCTATTTGTTCCCAATAGGGAACGACTTGCTTCGCATCGTCTTGTACTAAGGATGGTTTCCACGACAAAACCAGGTCGTTCCCATGTGTCTGGTCCTTCCCGGACCTTCGAAAGATCCGAACCTGTCTTGCTGTCACCGTGGAACCTTCGATCTCAATGGTCCGAGATCAACGCCCAACGGGATTGGAGTGGCCAACGCCCAACACCCAATGTAAACCCACAAAAAGAACCACCAAAGCGGGTCTTTCACCAGCTGCTTGCAGTGAGGGGACGTCACAGGCCGTCACAGGCGGCTGGTCACGGGCGTCTGGTTCCGGTTCCGCATTTCTTCAGTATGACTTCTCTCTGTGCACTTTGGCTTGGAACTGGTGACCAGTGCGGTGACCGGTCGGTTCACCAACTGACTGAGCTCGGCTTCGAAGAGCCCACCGAATACTTGGAAGGTCCTGGTATGGAAACCCAGTTCCATCCATGTGAGGTTTTGGATCTGGAGGTGAGACATTGCCGCCTGGGGTGGAGAAGGTCGAGCTGGTCGACTGACTCGACTGACTTCCTCCCTCCCCGCCTGGCAGGTCCGGAGGGAGTCCCATGGTCCGGACACACCCCAGCTGGGAGAGGGGAACCCCAGTTCCGAGGTTCAATGCAGGCTTTGAGGGTCCAATAACCTGAGGGTCGGTATGTGGATATATGTGGATCCATATACCAGGACCTTCCAAGAATTCTGTGGGCTTTTCGAAGCCGAGCTCCGATCCGGCGCTGCACCGATCCGCTCGCACGACCAAAACCGCCAATTCGGGTTCACAGCGGAAGTTCAACAACACACCGAAGGTCCCGTTCAGGTCGCGTCCCGGTCGGGTCCACGTCATGCAACTTCCTCCAAGGATCGACAAAAGGACGAGCTCTGGCATTCCTTCTGACATGCAAGGCCGTCATCTTTGTAGCTGCTCGTCCTGGCGGTTCCCCGGAGATGGAGAAAGACCAGACATGAAAACGCCCGGGTGCGAAGGGATGGCTATCTAGCGAACAGCTCAGCTGGAAAGCCCCATGTTGCTGTGGTCCTGAAGGTGGTGAAAAGTCTGAAAGGTTTTTGGCACAACCAGTGCAACCAATGTCCAAGCCGAAAACAGGTGGGGAAGACATTCCCAACTGGGCCTGTGGTAAGCCCACGTGCTAAAGCTCCTCCAGTGACGGGGCGTGTAGACTGTGAAAGCCACGCCTAAACGAGGAAGAGGGAGATGCACCTATCAGTACATGCTTCTTTTGTCCACGTGCTTCATGGTTGGTCCAGTTGACATCGATCTCCTGGATACGTTCCCTGCATAATGAAAGATACATCACGAATCAGTTTTGGAAGTGATTGCCCAGACTTGACTCGGACCCAAAGATGGAGGGGGTCAAACCGGTGAGGCCGTCAAATCTTTCGAGGGGTTGTGAAGCCAACGGCCTGTGGGTTGTTGTTCAACCGTGTCGACAGCGGCCTCGACCCCATCGAGTTCGGCACCACCGGACCCGCCATCCACTCAGTCGACTCGGACGACTCGGGCTCGGTGAGGCGGGTGGGACCTGGGAGCCTTGGGAAACTGAATGAACAACTCCAAGCATCGGTTTGACCGTGCATTTCCCATATCATCCCATATCCTCCCGCGCTTGGGGAGACGAGTTCCGACGCGCCCGCGCCCGCGGCCGCGCTGCTTTCGTGCCTCCCGGAAGGGTTCAAAGGTGTGAAGGTTAAGCCTGGAACACCACCTGAGGCTTTTTCAGAACACGGGCAGATACGGGCAGGGCAGGCCTTCTGTCTTCTCCCGGGTATCTTTATTGAGCGCTGGGTGGGCTCGGCTACCATGCAGACCCTTTCGGGCGAAGCAGACCCTCTCAATCATGGGGAAACCATGAAAAGTATAAGACCAGACATGCCACGAGTGGAAAAGGCTTTACATATATATACAGTACCCCTTTGGGTGGGAGGGACGATCTTGAGGCGTGCACGAGGCGTGTTCGGCACACCGAGCCACCGCCAGACGCCATCGCTGCCGCCCACCGGTGATCGGGATACCTTCCACAGTTCCTGACATAGCAACCACCCCATGCAGAAGAAGGAATCACCCACAAGAGCGAGGACTAAGTGACTTGCTATTCTGTTGGTCAATCATTCACCATGTCGACACCCCCCTGTCTAACGACCCCAGGTCAGTCGCAAACGACCCAGGTCGAGCACATCATGGGTGACCAAGTCGGTCGAACAAATTCCTCATCACGGAGCACCCAGCACCTAGCAGTTCCAATGGGTGTCCAACGGAGACCTCTCACCAAAATGTGTAGGGCCTTCCGGGCAGTCCGAGCCCCGAAGGGTCCAGCGCCCGAAGCCAAGTCTGGCCCAGCCCAGGCGTCGAACTGGCCCAAGCGGCAATGCTGCGTGTCGAACTCGTCCTCGACAGACTCCTCCGCTGCCGGGTCACGCGTCGAAGGCTCACGGGGGGCCGCTCTTTCGCGGTCGAAGCGCCCCATGTCCAGCCTGTTTCAGCCTGTTTCACCATGTCCAAGGGCATCCATTCTGTTCGTGTTCTGTTTGTTTTAAGAAGGTGTTTTGGGTTAAAAGGCCCCAGGGCGCCATTTGCGGCTCAACAATTCGGGTGACGTCGTCCATAAGAGATCTCACAAAGCATAGCCTGCATCATCGAACGAATGTAGCAGACATGTTTTCTCCCAGTTTTTCACAATCTTGCTGAAGGGGTGACAAGGCGGTGATCTTTGTGGAAAGCTTTTTGAAGCAAAAGGGCCCAGTTGCTTTGGGTGGATCCCCCAAACTCGCCAGGATGGCGCAGTCGATTCAGGGAATCCCTTCTCTTCGATGTTTTTGTGGCTCTTGGCTGAGCAGTCTTGGCTGAGCTGTTCCTCAAGACCGCTTGCAGCTTCGTGCGATCAGACCATCTCTCTGAGGTATCCCAAAGCATGAAACGTCCATAGACTTTCGCATGACACGAAGAACGGATCACACCGTCGAGCAGACACACCGTTCGCTTGATTCCCCCCCTAGCAACCCCATGGATCAGCGACCAAACCTCCCAAGATATCGACCCAAACCGATGGATGAGGGCACCCGCGTTGGAGGAGTGGATCGGAACCACCCCACCCCACGGCTCTGTGGGTTCCGGCAGCTCGTCGGACCCCCCACCAATGGCGCCTTCTTGATCCCCACCATGGCGGATGCCTAGTCGAGTCACCCAACTCGTCACGTCATCGGGCCACGGAGGGAAGAGGCGAAGGGAAGACATCGGGCCACGGACGTGGGGGACCGGTGTACGCGTGCGGCGGCGTACGCGTCCAGCGGCGCGTTTGGCGTCTGGCACCCCTGAATTCTGGGGGGGTCAGGCTGGTTGGGGAGAGCCCCTAGTAGCGTCCTTGCTCCTAGTAGCGATGCCAGGAGCCCC